TAAGAATGCAAGAGTGTGAAAATTTGGAAATTTGCGAATTTGGCTGCGTAAAAAGTTGAGACCCTAAGAATTCAAAAATTCCACAATTTATCCAATATTTTGTGTCCATAAATACTCTTACACTTAACCATTCCACTCCCAAAAATTAAAAATCCTTCTCTCCGTAAATTTATCAAAACGTAAAAATACGAGAATTGCCACAATTTCCTACAATCCTTTAAAAACTTTTTCTTACCAGATTTCGAAACGTATCGAATCGATGTAACTAACGTAATCAACCATATCGCATTGAAAATAGTGGCCATGCAGTGGAGACGACGACGAAGATAAAAATTACGAACGCAGAATATTTGAAATATGTATATTGTGTTGGTGGGCGAGAATTCCTGTGGCACGAAGCTCGAATAGTAGCGCGCATTCCCCGGCTATGTCTGTTTCATTAAATTGGAGAATTCCAGCGTATTTTTGGAAACAGAGGAACCGAGTTAAACCGCTGGTTACACCATTTTCCGTGGACCAACAGCGTTCGTTCGCACATATTGCCGCGATACACTCGAACATTTCGTCGGTTGATCGGTGATCGAATACTATGGTTCGGCAACGTTAATTATTCTTAATACGATTAGCAACGTATTTGCATATACGAATTCGAATGTTTTTGTTGCATTTGCCTGCGTTTGTTGCCTTCGATAAATGCAAAGGGAGAAGGAAGAAATAGATTCATTAAATGTTCTTCAAAAATTTATTAGAGTAACAAATAAAAATATCAGGAGAATTTGAGATTAAAAATTTTATTTCGTATTTAAAATTGTGTATTGTAAAATTAGTTCATTTCCTGTGTAATGTATTGCATGTGTTATGATTCAGAGATTAAATGTTTACATTCCGTGTTAATTAAACATCTTTTGAAATAACATATCAATTACAACAGTTATAACATAGTCATCTATTACATTTAAAATGTAGAACTGCTATTTATTAAATAATTAAAAAATTGAGCATGCAGTAAACAATCTTCTTAAATATCTAATTAAGTATCTAACTAGTCTCTTCAGCATGAAATATGATTTTGAGACAAGTTCCATAAAATGACTTCATACAGCAACATACGAATCGAGTCAGATAATTAATTGATTAAGAAAGTTATGTCGAATCTTCGAGCAGAACCATTCAGTTGCATCAAAAAGTACACGTCGTCAACCAGAAGGTGTAATTTCAAAATCTAATTCCTGGCTGTTCTTTCAAGTCGCTTTTAAAGCATGAACGTCTCTGATATTAACTCTGCGTTGTAAATTATTTTCATATTAATGCAAGAATGCCGAACAGTCAACCGACGAGGCGTTTCTGCCGTGTTTATTAAATTTCTTTGACATCCACTCCCCGAATCAATATGGCTTCTATGCGTGTCGTTTCTCGAAGATCTGCTTTCAACGTAAGAGCTCGCAATTTCCTTTGAAATTTTCATCCACCCGTTCTAACTGTATCCGTATATTAACCGTGCTCTACCGTTCGCCAGTTAAATAATCGACGACGAAAACAACAACTAATTGCATCCGATAAAAATGAATTTCGATCGGCTCGTTGTATTTCAACGTTTATTACTGATTCTTTGGTATTGTCCGGTGGACAAGTATAAATATTCGCACAACGATGGAAACAATTTTCTTTCCAACAATCGAATGTTTCCGATAATTATTCGTGTCGGTATTTGCAAATGAAATAAAGAAAGGAAGCTTTCATTGCAAGAGTTTCAATTATTATCAGCAATTCATCCCATTTGATTGCCCTTACCGATGTCTCCACTCAATCCTTTTCATTTCTACACGCATCAATCGGTAATTACAATATACTTTTAACTTTTCATTTTATCGGATATTGCATCTTTCTGCAACTACTTATTTTATTTATTATATTACAAATCTACAGTATTTTCTATCAGGTACATCAAAATATTTCTATCATTTGTATATAAAAATATTATATTTCTAACTCAAAATTTCATGCATATAACATTTATTGTCAGGTTATAATCACCTACTAAATTGATTTAAGAAATTGGATAAAGAAGTTGTTAAAATTAAATGAATAAAACTAAATGACTTGTCAAGAAGAATAAATGTATAACCTTAACGAGGACCATTAATATAAACTTGATTTTTCCTCACACAAAATATTGCAAACTAAGCTCAAAATAAGTAATGTTAACCGTGACTTTATTGAGGATGGATTAAAAAAATTAAGACATCAAGATAAGAATGTTTGAATAATACGCGAAGCGCAATCCAAGTGGTCAGACAAGTAGAATCAGACAGTAGTTACTGTATAACTTTTGAGCAGCATCAAACACAACACACCTTACTTCTATTATTACATATCGTTAATACTCTTCGAATTTATACTGCCACTTAAATACTTAGCATTACATGTGTTCAAATAAATCAATACAAAAAGTGTTGGTTTATTCAATAAAACACGAAACACTGAATCTTTAAATCTTACAATATTCGTACATTGAATACCACGATTCTTTAGAAATTTAGAAAAAGCTTTCCATTTTCCAATTTCTCAAAATATATACAAATCGAGGACACTCTCTAATCAATTACCGCTGTGTAATTCTTTCAGTACGTCATTCGGTTATTTGAACGTATTAATCAGCATAAGAAAATTTGCTAAAACCGTGCGGAAGTTAGGTTTCACCCAGTTCCAGGCCCAACGAGACCGTAATTCCCAATCGTCGAGATAAATGTCCCCCTCGAATAGTCGCGTTATACATCCCCCGGTGGTGGGACTCGAGTAAAAGGAATATCAAGTCGGAGTCGCGTCAATACCGTGGCGAAGTGTTTGCCGGCATATCGTCGCTGGCTCGGCCGACTTCCGTCTTCGCCCGCCACCTTATAAAAAGGGTAGCTATTGAATTAAAAGGACGTAGCGAATAAAGCGGCCGGGCTACGCGGTAGCGCAGAGCCGGGCCAGATAAAGAGGAAGAGGGAAAGAGCGAACGAGAAGAGCCCGTGAGAGGGTGGGTTATCGTTGGCGAAACAAGAACAGAGGAAACGTGGAAAAAAAGTTGGAGGAAACGAGAAGGAATCCTGTTCTCTCCTTCGCTCCTGTCTGGCCCTGGCGTGCAACTCCCAGCAACCCCCTGCATCCACCGGACGCCGTGCTCACCGGCCATAAAAATAAAATTTCAATAAATCTCCAGGCAGAGGGTAAGCTAGTGGGGCATCCAGAGGGCGGGCTACTCGCTCATTGGAGCTACGTCCGTGGCGGTTACCGCCTACCGCAAAACAGAGACAGCTAGACTACAGTAACCTGGATAGAGTTTACCTCGGATATGGACAGCCCCGCCAACCACCGTAGCCCGCCAGCTGCACACTCTGCCACTGCCGCTTCTCGATTTCTTTCCACCGGTTTTTCTCACCCCTTTTTCTTCCCTCTCAGACGACTCACGCCTCGAGCACTCTTCCACTTTCTTCCTCTTTTCGATTATTCCTCCACTCCGAATTTCTTCCTCTGTCCGGATCGTCACACCGGATCGATCTTATCGAATCAACATCAACTCGTAAACAACTTCTCTCTATACAAATCGTCCAAGTTCTCATTCTTTTTAATAATCCGACAGTTTACAAAACTACAGATCAATAAACACTCGTTAGCCATCAATTATCGCGAAAAAAATTGGACAAAGGTGCTCGAGGTATCGGCGATTGTTTTCAGGATCCTCTTCAGCTAGCTACGTTCCTGGCGAGTCTGAAGCACAGGAGCGATTTGATATCACGCCCACGAGGCAGTCGCGGGAGCGAGAAGGAGCTACCGAGGGCAACGGGGCAGAAGAAGAGGAGCGCAAGAGGGTGTTACGAGCTAGAGAGAGAGAGGGGCACCATCCGTGGATCGGGCAAAGTGGGGGAGCTCGGATATGGCAGCTAGGCAGTCCGCTGTTTGCCTTGCTGGGACACGGGCCGTTCCTCGGGCACATTCCGGAATATACCGCAACATTGTCGTGCTAAATCTACGCTAAATTCGCTGTATCTCTTGGTGGTTGCTTGAGCTTCGGCGGACGAAGC